CGCTCAGCAAATGAGAATAAAATTAATGAAGAGGCAATGCTGATTCCACAGTGGCTTTTCCACTGAGAGACCCAGCTAGCTGCCATTTGGTGTTCCCCAGGGATATGTGGTTTGAAGTCTAAATGACCTGCCCCAGGGGCTGGGCTGAAGCCAGGAGCTTCAGTTTCTCAGCAGCTTGTCCCCAAAGAGCACTTGGCCTCTTTTTGAACTAGCAACTTCTAGATTCTGGAGTCTATACCCAGTGTCCTATTCTGCCCTCAATCTCATCAGATGTGTTGATTGAGACTGTGGATAATCTTTAAGTGGAAGGAGGACTGAGTGCATGCTCTGGTGGAGAGAGCTTGCCTCCTGATGCACCAGCTTCCCAGGGGGACCTGCAAGAGGGAAGTTTCCAGGTAATGTAATTTACCTCTGGAAGCGCCGCATATTATTGGAAAACATCCATAAATGCGCCGACTCCCCAGTCTTCTTGAGCAGAAAATATCAAACACGGTAACTCACCTTGGCTACTGTTGACCAAGGGCTTTCAACTTCAGGAGTTGTTGAAGCTTGCTGGCGGTCCGCGGGAGGCCAAGGCCATTGTCTCCACCTCACAGATAATGAAACTAAGGTTCCAGGAGCTTAAAGGGCTCTGCTAGGGAGTGGTGGAGGCTTGCTCCGACCCCCTTCTCCGACCTAGAATCTCAAGTTCTTTGCTCTGCACCTTCACGGTCCCTTCCACGATGCAGCCTTTTCTTGGCGACCGGAAGCCAATAACTACTTCAGGTGCACTAGTGTTGATGCGGCTAGAGCCGTCTGTCCCTACACTCAATGGCCCTGGGTTCATAGGCCTGGTCATTTATCGTTGTGATCACTCCTCTCTCTCCCTTGCCTTCCCGGTAACGGCCGCCACTGTAACTCCCTTCCCATTCAACTGCCGGGTCCGAGAAAACAGAAGCTGACACCTTTTGCTGGAATGGTGTCTAAAATAAGATCGTTTGTGGCAGCTGCTTGGACACTCGGGTCGTTTTAGTTTTGTTTTCTCCTCTGTGTTTTGGGTACGTACAGCCCTTAGCTCGAGGACCCACAGGGAAACAGGAGAACAGCTAAGTGTTAGGGACGCCACCTTTGGAGTGGACACACCTGGGGTGAGTCCCGGCTCTCTCAATTTGCGGGGCCCGATACCTCCGCCGGGCTCTATTCCCTGGTGGATAAACTGGGGTTGATCTTCTAAGCCTCATCGGGAGTGCTGAAAGAGGATTTTAGGAGATAGTCCACAACCCATGCTTTAGCCCTGCGCTGGCCCTCAGCAGGTTGTAGTTTTGCTTCCGTGTCTGTAACTTGAAGCATGATCAGACTCTGATCATTCATTCATTCATTCATTCCTTAAATGCTTGTTTACTTCCCATCTCTCCGTGCCTGGTTTCCTTATCTGCACAAGAAGGGTCATGGCAACACTTCTCCAGCTGGGGGACATGAGGACTTAATGGGTAAATAGACATGAAGTGCTCAGAAGCCACGCAGGGGGGAGAATAAGTGTGACACAAATGTTACCATCCTCACCATCAGTACTAGTGTGCACTGGGGCCTGTGCGGGCCAGTCAGGCACCAGGGACAAAGAGGGGAGCAAAATGGAATGATCTTTGACTTATGCAATGTGCAGGTTCCTTCCTCCTTATTGTCTCCATGGGGGGAAAAAGCCGAGCCATGTTTCATCATTGTCTACGTAAGACGAGTTGACGGGTCTGAGAGCATAGCTCACAGAGACCCACCAGCTTGCCGGCTGCTCTCCTAGAGGCTGGCACTGGAGTCCCTGATGGGCCCCCTCCTGTGTTCTCACCCTTCATCAAGTCCCTAGGCCTCCGGCCCTGTGCTCTTGGTTTTAGTTCGGCACAATCCAAAGCACCTGCAAATAATCAGTCCAAAGGAGAGAACCATGGCCGTCTTGCCCAAGTCACGGCCGTGAAGGCGGGTGTCTGTGAAAATGCTCTGTAACCCTCAAAATGCCACACGGGCGAGAGCTCTAGGCCGCGAGCCTGGATTCGGAGGTTGGGACCAGAGGTGAAGTCCTGGTCCTGCCGCTTGGCAGCTGTGTGTCACTTGTCTCTGAGCGCTTGCTCTCCACAGCTACCAAGTGAGAAAGCGAGAGGCTCTTTCTGGTAGGGTTGTATGAGGAGCAAATAAGAGCAGAATGCAAATTTAAGGAAGTTCAAGGCCCCCTCAAACACCTCCTTTTGGAGGTGGGTTCACTGCTTCTCCCTCTCCATGGGCTTAGACTGGCATCCCTGGACACAGATCTGCAACAGAGAAGTGCATTCCCAGGAGGCTCCCAAGAAAGACACGTGTCGGGAAGTGAACAGGGCAAGATTGGAGGGAAGGAGGAGTTGACACACAGACACTGATTTCACTGTCGGTAACGCATCCAGGTCTCTTTCTTTGTCTCTCCAAAGCATCATCACCTGCTCGTGTAAAAGACGTGCGTGCCTTCTTCATGGACTAAACCCTCGCACGGTTATTTTTGCAGACTCAGAAGAGGAAAGGGAGCCAGACTGTAGAGATGGAACCTAATTTAAAAACATCCATGCAGCACTTGAAACAGAGGCCAGCTGGGACCAGGGCTGGTCAGGGCCAGGCCTTCCAGCATCCACCAGAATCTTGCCAAAGAGGGTCAAAAGTAGCAAAGGTGCCTGATGACCCCTCCCCCGCCAGGGCTCTGCAGGAGGACGCTCACTTTGAAGTTTTCCTGGGAAACTTGGTCACAAAGAGTAAATCTAGCCAAAGCCCTGTACCTGCCAAATTCTCTGGGCTCAACGGAGCTACTGTTCATCCTCCAAGTATCAGATTTAGCCTGATTTCTAATGAGCAAGACCATGGGTATTTAAAGAGAGCTGTCGACTGAGCAGTGGGGGCTCCACGGAATGACGGGGGACCCTGAGCCCACGTCCTCCTCTGTTGTCCTGTGGGAAACGGGCCACAGGTAGGCACCCTCACCGTTGCTCATAGTAACAAGAGGGGTGTGTTTCGCCATCCTGGCGTTTGACTGCACTAAGTGGGTTTATTTGCTTTGTGTGTGTAGGGCCCCGCAAGTCTGTGACACTGGGGGCTGTCTGGGCTCGAGGAAACTGTTCTGACTCTGTTTCTCCATCTCTGCAACAATCACAGAGACTCTCAAGTTGTGGGGATCAAATAATGAAACACCATGAAGACCTTATAGAAAACAGCAGCTGGCATTTAGTAACTTCTTAATAAATGCTTCAAATTACTGATAGGTACCTGACACTCACTGTGTAGGAGGGGCAGCCGAGGTTCCGAGGGGCTAAGTTCACGAATAAGATCCCTGAGTCTCAAGGAGGCAGACACGGGCTGGGGGGAAGGGGGCACCATGCAAATGGGGCTAGACTTCCTGGCACTGGATTTCCATCATGGACCCTAAATGTGACTTTCAACTTGGGAACAGAGGAAATGCTGACTTCTCAAAATCAAAAAGAGAAGAGTGGTGGGGGGGGAGGGGGGGGAGGAGATAAGGTTGCCAAAAAAAAAAAAAAAAAAAAAAAACCCTTTGCTCTGAGCCCTGCGCTGTGATTGGGGTTTCACACCCACATGGCCTCCCCTCTTCTTGGTCACGTTCAGGAGTTCATCGGGCAGACTCCTCGTGAGCAGAGGAAGGTGTGACTGTGGTGCCTCCGACCCCCCAGATGTCCTCGGGAATGAAGGCCATTGGGGTTCTCGTGGTCTTTGCCTCCTGCCGTAAGTAGTAAGGAGCTGGGAGAGCTCCGGGGTGCTGTCCTCGTGTCTGGGCGCCTGTGTCTTGGGGTGGCCCCTCCTGAGGTGGCATCGGGTGAGGGGAAATCAGGTGTCATTCAAAAGAGACTCAGGAGTGGAATAGGTTCCCACCAAACTCCTTCTGCTTCTGTTTCTTCTACAAAAGGGGGTGGTCCCAGCCTTAGGACCTCACAAAACTTCTAGAAAATCAAAGGTTGCTAACTATTTGCTAGAAAAAGGGCCTTTGACTACTGTTTGACCACACGCCCCCTCCGGGACGCTTTTTTATTTTCCTTTGGATGCCCGTTGCCTTTAAAGTCTTGTAGATGCCAGAACAAAAATGCAGACCTGTATCTAGCTAGTTTAGGGACAATTAGTTCTCATCAGAAAGGCTCTCTTGTGGTGACTTATGGAATCATGGGTGATTACAGGTCATTGCTACCAGGAGATCAGATAACACCACTCCGCAAAGTGAAAAAGAGCTTCACAGGAAGCAGTGTTGGAAACAGTTGTTGGAAAATTCTTTGACTCTGCTCTGGTTAGTTTGATTAGTAGAGATGTCTCCAAATCCGTTTCGCTGCTTCAACAGTGTAGCTTTCGGGTCCCTAAGTCGAAAGATGTCAAAAATAGAGTTCCCATTTTCCCTCAGTCAGTGGTGGAATTGGCTGTTTTCAAGACCATGGTGGGGGGGGGGGGTCCACGCAGGGAGAACCAGTTCCCTCCTTGGTGTCCCCCACCCCATCAGCGCCTGAGGCACCCTTGACCACAGGAGCTTCCTACCCCCTCCGCAGTGCTTCTGCTTTGGGACAACAAAACCACAGGAAGTCTCCTGTGAACGCCTCCCAAAACCCTGTGTCTCCATCTCCGTTTTCTTCAAGTTCATGTTTTTCTGTTATTGTATGGCAAAATTAATATATGCAGGTAATTAAGAAGTAAAACGAGTGAGTATAGAATACCAAGATGAAGCCACTTCTTGGGGCGCCTAGGCGGCTCAGTTAGTTAAGTGTCCAGCTTTGGCTCAGGTCATGATCTCACGGTTCTCAAGTTCGAGCCCCGCATCCGGCTCACTGCTGTCAGTTCAGAACCCGCTTCGGATCCTCTGTCCACCCCCCCGCCCCTCCCTCCCTCTCAAAAGTAAATAAACATTTTTTTTAAAAAAGCCACATCGCATCCCTCCCAGACTCCAGTCCTTCTCCTACACCCAGATGTAACTAACCACTCTTAAGAGTTTGATATACAACCTTCTAGGCTTTTCCGCACGCACATTTTGAACATTTTAATACAAAAGTAATACATGCTCATTATAAAAAAAAAAAAAGACAGCATAAAAGTGTATAAACAGTGCCTATCTTTTTCTCCACCTACTTCCTCAATCTCACTGCCCGGAGATATTGCTATTAAAAGTAGATGTTTTCAAGACATCTCCCCCGTCAGTGGATATGTAGGTGGTGTTCAATTTTTTTCATACCACAGGGGACGCGCTGCAGCAAACATCCCCCAGAATATATATATTCTTTCCCCACTTTTGTAAACATTCTGTAGAAGTAAAAAATTGCTGGGTCCATGTGTATTTGCCATTAAAAAAAAAAAATAGACTGAGGGCATCTTTTCTGCCTCTCAAGTATTTTGTTTCTCCTGCGAGATTGTAAATGCCTGATGATATTTGGAGAAACTGGCATCTCTAGCTTTGAACTTTTCCCGTAAATGTTGCATTAGACCTAAGGGTGTTTCTGCCTTAGATGGTGGATTTGGGGTTTGTTTGGTTTTTTTTCCACTGGGGGTGGGGGGTGGGGGGAAGACCTAGTTGACAGCATTGTCCTGAACATCGTGGAAGCTGGGTTCTCATCCCGGACTAGCAAGAAACTGGCCGTGGGACACAGTGTTCCAGCCAGATTGTCTTCCCCGCGACGGGGGCTGGTGATCCCAGCCATGCTCAGGCAGCATGTTTGGGGGTCTCCTGAGGTCCCGGATGCGAGCCCTCTAGTTGCTGGTATTGTTCTCACTGCACCCCGCCTTCTTTCTTCCTTCCTGCCCTCCAGCGATGGCCCAGCCTCCGGCAGTTTCAGAGGACGGTCAAGTACATCACAGGGCGGAGCGCCTTCTTCTCATATACGGATATGGCTGCTACTGTGGCCTTGGGGGCAAAGGGAACCCCGTGGATGACACTGACAGGTGAGTCCAAAGCGCTCATTGGATTTGCACTGAAACCGGTGCCCGAAGGGAGGCAGGAGGTTAGGACGCTTGTGTTGCAAGTAACAGAAGCCCATGGATGGTTGGCTGTCCTGTAGCCGCCATCTTGAAATCCTCGTGTCTGGACAACGTGCCCCGGATTCCCGTTCTGCACCAGACCTCGAAAATTATCTAGTCAGTCCTGCCCAGAGCTCCAGAAACGTTTTCAGTTCTCAGACGTCACAGCAAACATGGTCTTCTCTCAGCAACCCAGTTTTTTAGGCTTAGAGCACAGCAAGACTGCCCTGCTGTCTCCCGGGCCTAATTCCACATTCGGGGAGAGAGAATCCCAGTGGCCCAGTTTGCAAAAGTTGTCCATCTGGGCGAGGCCACATGGCCCAACGTGGCTGCCAGGCCTACTCCTTGGCGTGGGGGTGGGGAGCGCGAGCCCCAAGAAAAAGCGGAGGTTGGGGTGACCTGGAGAGGGTATGGGGAGACAGGAACCAGGATAGTTTGCACGTCGTGTGTCTGAAGAAAAAAGAAGCGAGGTGTTTCTTGCCGCTTTCAACCCCACGTGGATAAATACGTCCCTGCAGTGGGGCCTCAAATGTCGCTCCTGGAGCTTGAGTTCTCCGGGCCGGGCATGGAATAGTCCAGCTGGAGGGACCCCAGAGCCCTGCGGGGGCACTGACACCGATGAAGTGCCCATCATGGGCCGAGCACTGGGATTGGTGATTCGCACACAGGGCCTACCTTTAAGCCTTGCATCCAGTGCCCAAGGCAGTGTGACTGTCCGTATCCTACAGATGGCGACTGTGAGCACCCACTAAACCAACGTGGCAAAGCCGAAGACACAGCAGTCCCTGAGTGGCTAGGTCAGGATTTGAACAAGAACTTGCCTGGTTCAAAGTCCCGGCTCTTTGACGCTCTGTGCCTCCCCTTCCGAGACCAAAGGCTGGCGAGAATTTTACCACCGTTAGACAACAACGACAAACAGCAGAGAGCCCACTTGCAGGTGGGGATGGCGAGAGGAAGGACCGAAGCGTCTGGCCCAGAGCATCTTCTTTTCTGTGTCTTAGAAGCCAGTCCCCGGTCTCTGCTTTCCTGCCCCTCGTGCTCTGGTTGAGGCATTCCGAGCTGTTTTCTCTTTGTGGATCTTCTCCCTTCCTGTCCCCGGCCGCTCTCAGCACGGTGAGAACAAGGACTAAAGAGTTATGGGTGTTTTGCTGACACCTGTCTCCTCAGGGACTGTCACAGTGCTTGGCACATGGTAGATGCTCAGGAAAAAGTCATTACGTGAATGACTGAGCCACACGGACCTAGATTTGAGCCCCGTGTCTATCATTTGCCAGCTGTACAGTTTTGGGAAATTCCCCTCTTGAAATTCTGCCACCTCCTCTATGAAATGGGGACAACGATCACCCTTCACAGGGTTACGCTGAGGAGCTAATGGGATAGCAGAAGGTGCCAGAAAGAGCTCACTAGATGTTAGTGGTTATTTTTGTAGTTTCAATATTTTCAGGAACTTACCTCCTTACCCTTCAATGCCTTCTCATGCAGGGGAGGAGGCGGGGGAGTCCTTTCCGGTTTCCACCTATGGTCTTCCCGCTGATTCCCCAGGGCCCACCCGCCAGGGAAGCCCCTCACCTCTCCTCTGCTCTGGCCCCCAGATGCTGCCTGGCACATGACTGCTGCTATGAGAAGCTGAAGCAATTCGGCTGCCAGCCTGTGCTGAACAGCTACCAGTTCCACATCGCCAATGGGTCCGTGGCCTGTGAGTAGCCCTCTCTGTAGGGAAATGGCTTTGAACCTGGGCCTTTCCTTAATGTCTGCCTCCCGGCAGAAGAGTGCTTTGAGACGGAAAGTGACCATTCTAGGAGTCAAAGCTTCTCGGGAGTCTTTGCTTGGTCTCCGGTCTCTCCCGTCCAGCACCCTCTGGGAGCATGGAGCATGGTGCCTGGGGTATAGTACCTGCTCAATAAATAGTGGCTGACTTGAGACGACGTGGAATCTTGCAGCTTCGCCTGGCAACCGTTGCTGTTGAGAACATTCCTCCTTATGTCTGTCATGTGTTAACAAAGCAGCTCGGCTGTCTTTCAGTTGAACAAATATTTGTTAAGGGCGACTCCACGCCAAGCGCTAGTAGGTGCCATGGGGGACACAAAAGTAAATAGGAGGGGGACGGGGAAGAGAACTCACATGTCGTTGAGGCCATTCAGGGAGGAGAGCAAAGGACAAGGGTGGGCAAGTACCGAGTGTCCCACACGTGGGGCGTGGCCCCTAATATCCCGGGGCGTGTTCTGGGGCTACCGGGGTGTGGGGTTTGTGTAGGGCAAGTTTGAAGAGCAAGCCCATTTGAAGTCACTGGGCTGTAGCCTTCTCGCGAATGCCGTTCATTCCGGGGGAACCAGTGGTTTGAGTGCCCCTTAGGGCGACTGGCCTCCTACCCCGCCTTGTGGAGTTGCATGAACCGCTTTCCTCCCCGTGTGTATTCGTGCTCAGCTGTGAATGTGTTGGAGTCCACCTGTCTCCTCCTGAGGTCGGGGAACCACCACCTCCCTTCCCTTCATCTCCCCCTTAGGGAGGGTGCTCAGTGCCTAGACCCCAGGGCTCCCCAGTACCCCCCTCCCACCCAGGGCCCCAGCTCAGGACACACCCAGATTGACCAAGCAATACAGCTACACGGTCTCCCTGGTCCAGTGGTGAGACCTGAGCCATGGGGAGCTGCTGGTGGCTCAGATCCCTGCCATCTGAGGCCAGATACAGCCTGGTCTGTTTCTCAGCCTTCACAGCCTCTGGCCCCAGACACACTGTTGATGGGGAGAACCCTCTTTCCAGCATGAGCTCAAGGAGACTTCTGTGTTGGAGCTCTCTGGCCATGACTGTGCTCACACCTAAAGCAGTGTCTCTTCTGGGAGGTCCCCAAGGCCACGTACAGGAGATGGGACAGGATCAGGACCTAGTGGAGGGGCAAGGAGAGGGGGCTGGAGGAGATTACCCCGGAAGTGTTGTTTGCTTTGGCTCACGATGCCCTCGGAGGGAGGGACAGAGTTTCTGACCACCTCTCCCCACCCCTCTGGGCCCCACTTGGTGGGATTGGGGGCGGGACAAGCCTGGCCATTGGCTGTAGGGGGGCACACACAGAAAAGGTGCCCCTGACTCTTCTCAGCCTGGCACATGGCCCTGCTTTCATATGGTTCCTTCTCATCTCTTTTCGTCTTGATCATAATATCTGTCATGTCAAGTGTTATCTTAAAGTGGTTGAAAAGTTCTCCCTTTTAGAGGAAATACATTTGAGGAGCTCTGTCTTCTGATGCCCCCATAAAGTGCAAATACCAGGAAAGAAGGGAAAAGATGCCCTGAGGAGGGAAGTGGATTTTCAGCAGATGCAGCCTGTGCGCGCTGTGGTCGCAGCCCTGGAAGAAGCCTCAGCCCTTTGCACCTGCTGCTGCTGCGTTCTTTTTTTTTTTTTTTTTTTGAGCATCTTCTTTAGCACCTCTCTTCCCCCTCTCCCGTGAGGCCAGAGCCGCAGCCTGGGAGCCCAGGAGACAGAGAAGAGTGACCTGGGGGAGAGCCCGGAGCCCCCTCCCCCGAGGTGGCACACGGGAACATCTGCTTGGCACATGCTGGGCAGCGGTAGGCGGTGTGGGCAGGGACTGGGCACTGGGCTGGGAAGTTTAGGGTCTGGGCTGTGCTTTCCATAGATGCCGCCAGGCAGTTAGCGGCTCCTGAAGCTTGAGCAGGGCCCCCGCAGTCCAGAGCCCCGCTTAGGGAGTTAGCACTGGGGTGGGGTGGGGGGACATTAGTATCCCCCGCCTCAGCTGACCCAGCCGGTGAGTGCCAGGTCGACCCCCTGTCCTCCCCACCCCGCCTTGCCAAGCCCCTGCTCCCAAGAGTGGGGCCGGGAGCTGAGTGATCTGGGTTCTGATCCCGGGTCTGCTGCTGATACGTGCTGAGCCCACAAACCAGACACAGGAACATTCACTTACTTGCCCAGCATTGCTTGAGCGCCTGCTGGGTGCCCCTCCAAGGCCAGCGCTGTGTGGGGGCCGGGCGCAGAGCAAGGCAGCCTCGGGTCGTGCTCTCCTGGCACACTCCAGAGCTGAAAGCGCCCTTAGAGACCGTCTAGACCCACACCTTATGGTAGTGACAGGGAGACTAAGGCCCAGAGAGGGCAAGAGTGTGATCCGAGTAACAGGCAACATTAACACGCATGTGTCTGGAGCCTTTCCAGTGCTCTGGAACACAGTGCTTGGCCTGAGTTTTCTGGGCCTCAGTTTCTTTATCCATGAAATAGGTATAATAGCAGTAGCTGTGGTCTCTGAGCATCGGTGACATGGGCATTACATACCGCACCTTGGACCCCTGTGATACACCCCTGGGGTGGGCATGATTATCAGGAAGGACCCTGAGGCTCAGAGAGGTTAGCGGAGATGGCCGAGGTCACGCAGCCAGGAAAAGAAGAGTCACGATCCCGACCTAGGCCGTCTGCCCCCAGAACCAGCGTCCCTGCCTTACACTGCCCTCCCCAGAGGCATGGGGCTGCCAGGAGGGTGGCAGGGGGGACACACTTGGTTGGAGGGCTCACACAGATGCAAATCTTGTTGTCCTGTGGGCAGCATGCTCGTGAGAGGGCAGAGAAAGGCAGATGGTCTCGGCTCATCTATAACGCCCAGATCTTTCTGTTCTAGCGCTATGGACCCTGCTAAGAGGCCCAGAGAGAGCACATACCTCGGGGTCTGGCAGAGCTGGGTCTGAACCCCAGCTGCACTCCTTCTAGCTGGGTAATTACACAACCATCCTGGGCCTCAGTCTCCTCGTCTGTAAAATGGGGATAAGAGTCTGCCCTTCCTAAGGTTGCTAAAGTAACCCCGCTGAAGGGGCTGGCCCATAGCAGGTGCTTCGGTAGTGCGTTTCCTTTTTAGAAGCTGAGACTTCTTTTTGCATCAAAGTTTTCTTTTCCCCTTCGCTTTGGTGGAAAAGCACTGGGATTTTCTTCATCACTGTTAGGAGATTGCGCTGAAGCATTTCCTCTGCACCTGCATCCCCTTGCGCTAACGTCATTAACTCCCTAGAGAAGAAAAGCTCTCCCCCCCCCCCCCTCCGGTTACTCTGCAGTTCAAAGAGCTGCCTTGCAAGGGTTAATGCCCCTCCCCTCCCCCCAGCCTCCAAGTTCTGAAATCCTGTACCAGAGCCTGGTCCCCAGTTGCCTAGCAACCAAGGGCTGATCTGGGATGTAGTTGGTGAGCAGGGAAGGGAGAAAAGCAACTTGGCCTGTCCGCGTCTTTAAATGTCACCGGAAGATCCGTGCAGAGAAAGGCCTGGAACCCAAGCCCTGGGGCCAGTTTGCCAGGTAGGGAAGGCTGCCCTCGGGCAACCAGGGAGGTCGTTATCCCTCCTTTGACTGGGCTTACAGAAGCACTTGGCATTTGCAAGGGACTTTAAGATTAGCCCGCGGAGATGCCCCCTCCTCCACCCACACATGCGTGTGTGGCTTGTGCAGGGGCCGTGGGAGGCCAGCCAGGTTCCAGCCGGAGGCATGTCGGAGCCTCCGCCCTTCTCCCTCTGCCAAAGAGGGAAGGTGAACATGAGAACCACTGGAATTTGCAGTTTGCAAAGATCTTTCTCCAGCACTGCTGAATTGATCCCTCACAACACTTCTGTCCCTGACACATCACCCCTTTCCTCTCCTAGCATTGGTCTCCACCTGAAATTACCTTGTGTACTTAGGCTTCCCCTCTCCCGCCAACCCAAATGTGAGTTCCAGAGAGCAAGGAACAAGCCTGTCCTGTGGGGGCGTGGGGGGCACTCATCCTCACTGGAACCCGCAGAGAGGGACGCCCTTGGAGCTAAGTGATGTGGGGTCTGCTTGCTCAGACCTGTACCCCCAGGTCCTAGCCAAAAGCCAGGCACATGTTAAGAACTCAGGACCTGTCAGTTTGATGAGTGAATGAACGAAAACCTCATGAGATAGTTAACATAAGTATCTGTTTCCTGATTTGAAAGCAGAGGACACAGGCTTGGGGACACGCAACTTGCCTGAGGTCCTAAAGCACACACAGGTGGTGGGTCTGGCCCGAGAACCGGGCGTCCGGGGTCGTGGGACGGGGACCCTTTCTCTGACCCACAGACCGTGAGCGTCCAGGCAGGCAAGCTGTAGCACATAGCGATGGAGTGTTCATTGCGTGTTCAGAGCTGAAGACGTGCGATGAAAACACAAACTCCCTGGGCAGAAAGAGCCTGCCTTCTGGGAGGAGTCCAGCTCACAAAATATTCAGAAGTAAAGTACACTCGGGTGTTGACCAGTGCTATGACAAGGTGACAGGCTACAGAATGATGACAACAGAAGGAGGGAAGGCTGGCTACTCCAGGTGGCCTTTGGCTAGTGTGGCAGGAGCAGAGGCAGCAGGCGGCCGGGGCTGGCGTCGCACAGGGGAACGGGTTCCTTCGTGGGGCTTGGGGGAGGGGCAGACAGAGAAGGAGCTCACCGCCTCCTCCAGTGGCAGGGGAGGCTGCCAGAGCATTTGAAGCGGGAAATGATAGCTCTAATGTTGCTCTAGAAAGATCACTCTGACCACTGTCCGGGGTGGTTGGGGAGCAAGGGAGAAAAGGTGGGGCGGTGTCAGTGAGCTGCTTCAGGAGCACTGGGGAGAAGCTACCATGGATGGTAAAGTGGAGGGGAGAAGTGTCAGATGCTGCGTGTCACGGAGGTAAATTGTCAGGGCCTGCTGATGGGCCGGATGTGGGGTGGGAAGGAAAAAGAGACCGAATCCAAGGTTCTGGGCCGGGGCGGCCACACGTAAAGTGTCGTCTGTTGAGCTTCTGCAAATGGGGAAGAAACAGCTGTGAGAACACAGCAAGGAGTTCAAGATGCGAATCAGACACCCACCAGTGAGGGAAGTCGGGTGGACCCGAGCACATTGGAGTACTGAGCTCAGGGGCGACACTGGGCTGGGATGAGAACCCAAGAGTCATCGGCACTGTGATCGGTATTGAAGGCCCTGAGATCGAACCAGAGACTCGGGGAGAGAATTTGGAGAGCAGGAAGGAGGCCTGGGACGCAGGCCGGTGGCGGCCTCGGCAGGAGGCTGAGTTCACGGAGGGCAGCGATGTGGAGCATCCTGCTTCATCCTATTTATGGGAGTCTGTCGTGGAATGAGAAAGAATGCCCTGAAGCCATGTTCCTCTCTCATGCCTCAGTTTCCCTGCTAGCAAACTAGAAGATGCAGGAACAGATCCGGGTTTGTCTTTTGAAAAGATGGCTTGCAAACAGGGCATTTCTCGCCTTGGGGCTGCCTCTCCTTCCAGGTCTTAACAGGCCTGGTTCTGCCACGGCTGTGGGATGCCCCAGGAATGAGAGTCCATGCCGTCGACCCCTGCTCGGGATCAGTTCCAGCAGGCCCGGGGCCCAGGGGAGCATCAGAGGTCACACTGCGCGTCAGGAGAGGGTCCTACTCCGTGCATCGGCAAGGACAGGACAAAGTGAGAAAGGGACGGGAAAGTGAGCGAAAAGACAAAGGAGGTGTGGAGAAGTGAGACGGTAAAGAAGAAGAGAGGAACAGAAGACAGAGATAACCAGGAGGCCAAGGCAGAGTGAGAAAGGAGTCTCACTTCAGGCTTCCAGAAAGACAGCGCCGGGGTGAGTGACAGCACAGGGTGCCAGGCCCTTTCCGGAGGAGAGCCAGGCTGAAGGGGGCAGGGCCCTGCACCCTGAGAACACCAGCCACGAGACCAAGTGGCGGACCCTTGGCCCCTGCAGACTGTGGCGGCCACCCGGGAGGGAAGCAAGGGGCATGCTCGAGGCGGTCGAGGCGAGAGACCCAGAGGGGATGGGGCGTGGCTTGGGAGGGGCTCCCGGGGGAGCTGGGGCCTGGAGGATCCTGGAGGATGCTCACAGATGGAAAGGGGGAACACGAGGGCAAAGGTGACCCAGGTGTCAGGGAGGGTGGGAGCGGCGGAGCCCAGAGCCAGGGGCGCGAGCATTCCTGGCCCATTTCCAGTGGGTGAGTGGAGGGCGCAGCTGAAGCGTGGGGTGGGTGTCGACGTGCCTTGAGAAATCAAGTCTCCAGGGAGACGTGGGAGGACAGCTTGCTGCAGGAGTTGGACTTCGGAGGGAGAAAGGCAAACAAACAGAGGACAGTCAGCACTGGATCCAACTTCAAAGGGCTCTTCTTCCCGGATGCACCACTGCCATCACCAGAAGCTCGTAGGGAGCACTCCGTGCATGCCGCAGTCAAACCACTCTCCCTGTAAACAGGGAACTGGGGTGCAGTTCTCTAGAAAGGGGAAGCCACAACCACACACACACACACACACACACACACACACACACACACTTCAGCTCCAGTAACTAAATAAAAGATCCCCATCTAGTGGTAGCTCGGCCAAAGGGCAGACACTCGATCCCAAAGGCCCAGAGGGGCTTCATTCGCTTATCAGGGACTGTCGGTTGAGCACCTACGATGTAAGGAGCATTTGCTCCGCATGCTGGGGATACTGTGACGGACGAGACGCACAAAGCCCCAGCCTCACAGAGCTCACACTCCATTGAGGAGGGATAGACGGAAGCAAGTGAATACTCAAGAGACGTGCGGGTTGTGCAAAGCACGTTGAAGGCAATAAACGGGGATGCGCGGGAGGGGGGCTCCTGATCAGGGGTCAGGGAGAGCCTGTCTGAGGAGGGGGCATCTCATCCCAAACGATGAGATCCTGGTGAGAGGTGTTTTAGACAAGGAGAATGGTGAGAGCAGAGTCCCAGGACAAGACCGAGCCAGGCCTGTGACAAAGTGGCCAGTGTGCCTGGAGCAGAGCAAAAGGCCATGGCAATGGACCAGTTAGGGAGGCTGGATCATAGCAAGGCTGCCCTGGAGACTCCGGTGAGGATTTGGACGTCCTCCCCCAAATACTAGGAAACCCAGGGGCTTGAAGCAGGAGAGTGGCCCTGATCCAGGCTGCAGTTTAAGAAAGTCCCTGTTTGTTTCCTCCCATTAGGGAGGAAGAGCTGGTGGCGATAGGGACGGGGGGAGGGTAGCGGCCAAGAAGGTGGAGACAAGAGGGCGGAGAGCGAAGTATTTTGAACAGAGAAATCAGCGGCGCTGGCTGTGGACTGGATGTGAAAAGTTGGAAGGCGGGTGGGGGGAGCCCAGGCTGCTGCTCGCTTTCTGGCTCGAGTGGGAGGTGGTGCCGTCTGCGAGCTTTGAGCGTGGGTGAAGGCCGGGTTGGTGGGTGGGGGGAATGCTACTTCAAGTGTTCCTTTTTGAACGTCTTAAGTTGGAGATGCCTCAGGCGTCCGAGCAAGATGGTCAGCAAGCAGCTGGACATAGGTGAGTCCTGAGAGAGGGGGTCCCGTGCCCTTGGCCTGCGCGCTAACTCAGGGCGCCCCTCCGTGCAGCCCCCTCCCCCTGCCCTCCTCATTTCCTTCCAGGCTTCTCTTCCCTCCCGTCCCCGTGGCGTGTCCGGGTGTGACTGGGGACACAGCAAAAGGACAAAAGAAAAGGACTCCCTGTTTCTTCCCTTTCTGTTTTCAACCCCCGACCCCTTGTAGCAAGCCCCCTGTTCTCCGCAACCTTAGGACCAAACGGAGCCCCCCCCCCCCCCCGGGTGGCCCTCTGTCTCTCTGCAGGTACATGTGCCCTCGGTCCCGGTGTCAGCTGTCTCTGTGGGCTGCGGGCATGCGAGTGCGACAAGCAGTCTGCGTACTGCTTCAGAGAGAGCCTGCCCACCTACGAGAAAACCTTCAAGCAGTTCTCCACCCGGCCCCACTGTGGGAGGCGTAAACTCCAGTGCTAGGCAGCCACAGGCCCCTGGCCGGTCAGCAGGTGTTCCGGAGTCACCCTCCCGGGAAGCCTTCTCATGCCGTCCCCAACAGGCTCCAATGGTGGCTGCAGCCACCATTCAGCACAGGGCCTAGGGTACTCCTTCGTCACTCGACACCAGAGGGCTGCAGACCAGCAATGGAAAAGATAAGACCCTGGCACGCGAGGGAGGGAGAGTGCCTGTTCACATGTACACAAATAAGTGACGCTTTCTGATAGTAGTAAGTGCTAAGAAGCAGTACAGCAAGGGGACAGGGTAGAGAGATGTTCCCAACCCCCATCTGGGAATTCCCAGGAGGGCAGAGGACCCAGGATCTGCCCTAAACTCCCCCTCCGCCCCCACCCCAAAGTCAGGATGCACGGCGGACTTGGGAATAGGGCACACGACCCAGATCCAGCCGGGGACAGAGCAGGGACCCTGCAAAACAGGGATCCAGCCAAGGATCCGAGAAGCATGCTTTGGACTCTTTTCTCATTTGCTTGCGTTCTGCTCTCTGAAATCCCTCCGGTGGCAAAAATTAAGGCCACTTTCACCTCTTAAGAGAGCGTGAGAACAGCCACATCCACTCCACGTGGATGTCGGGGCCAGGAAGACGTCAAAAAGTTGGGGAAAGATGGCCTCGGAAGAGTGCGTCAGAGGGACCCGACATTTCCATCCGAGTTCAGGAGGCCCTGGAGATATCAGACTCCGATGCTAACGAACACCAAAGTCGCCTGACGTGGGCGGATTCTGTTCTTTGTCACGCCCACGTGGCGTGGTAGGTTGCAAAATCGGCCACACAGCTGTCCTCTCTGGAGGCTATGCCTCTCTGTATCCTCGCCTCTCGTAAAGGAACGCTCGGCGTTTCCCATCAGGAAGTAGAGTCTGCTCCTCCCGGTGGTTGAATCTAAACTCTGCGCTGACCTCGTGAATTACTTTGGTCGACGGAACGTAGTGGAACGTACGAATGGTCGGTCTGCCGGTTCCCGAGCCCAGGCCTCAGCAGGTCGGGTCTCAGGACACGTGGCGCTGCTGAGAACAAGCCTGGGCTGGCCCGCTGGCAGACGGCGGCCAGAGTGTCAGTCCGGCTGTCTCAGCTCAGACCTCAGACATGTAAAAGCACCCAGCCAAGGTCAGGCACGCCCACTCATTGCCGACCATGACCCACGAGAGAAGCTAGCTGGAACCAAGGCAACCGCCCAGCTGACCCCAGGCTAAGTGGCCGATTGCAGAAGTGTGAGCTGCATAGAGGCTGCCGTTTCAAGTCACTAAGTTGTGGTGTGGTCTGTTATACAGTCAGTACTCGCCGGTCTTCGTTCACGGCTCGCTGAGAACTGTGACCAGTTCTCTGCACTGCGCTGCACGGGGAGGCCACAAAACGTTGTGCACGTGGCCCCTGCCCCTCACCTTGTAGGTCTGGGAGGAGAAAGGCTGTGATCAAATATAATAAGGATGAACGCACAAAGGGCTGTAATCACACAGTCATCCAACAGACGTTTATTGAGCCCCCACTACGTGTCAGACACAGTGCTGGGCAGTAACGATTCAGAGATTTAAAGAAAACAAACCACATCAGGTCTGGATATCCTGGGGAGAACTTCGAGAGCCATAGCAGCTTTTAGAAGTTCAAGTTCAGACACACTCTGGATTGGGTGATGCTGACACTGATGTGAGGACAGAAAGGGAAGCCACGGGCAGGTGGTCAGCAGAGGGTCTGGGAGCCATGGCTCCTGGGCTCTGCTTTGCTCAGCTGGCAGAGTCCAGTGGTAAATTCGTCTGCCTTTCCTTCCTCCCTTCCTCACTCCCTCCTCCCTCCCTTCCTTCCTCCCTCCCTTCCTTCCTTCCTTCCTTTCTCCCTTCATCCCTCCCTTC